GTGTGTGTGTGTGTGTGTGTGTGTGTGTGTGTGTGTGTGTGTGTGTGTGTGTGTGTGTGTGTGTGGGTGTGTGTGTGTGTGTGTGTCTGAATTAGCACCTGTGTTCCCTCAAGTCTGCACACATTCAGGCAATTATCATATTTCTCGTTTTTAGAAGTGTGGATGAGTTTTTAATTGCGTGCAGAAGAAGTGTATGTGTGTTGGTGTGTGTGTGTCAGTGTGTGTGTCTATAGGGGACTTCCTGGCAGTCATCCAGCACAGTGTCGTTGTCTCTGCATTAAAGATGTAGTATAAAAGTCCCTGAACTACTCAACACGGTCAAAAATAGCAGCCTCAGTCACACACCTATTTACAGCACTGCAGTCACACACACACAAACACACACACACACACACACACACACACACACACAGGAAAACGTGCAGAATGGTCAGCGAAAACCCCCTCAATTAAAGTTGGTACATGAACCCGTCGGGTCCTAATTTGCTGTCTCCAGTTTCACGGATCTGCAACCTGCGCAACCTTGAGAAATGTCACTGCACCACTGTAGGAAACAAACAACACTTAAAGGGCCAGCGCAGACAAAAACACATCTACTGTCATCTTTACTTGTAGGTGCAACACAGAAGGAGATATTTCAAAGAATGTCCTTAAAGAAATAAATTTGGGACAATGTGACTTTAATTGTATAAACTATAAAAAGCGATTAGTTGACTTTACTGAAAAAAGTGAGTTAACTAGTTGCCATATAAATGTTACCATAGCAACTATAGAACTAGAAGATCAAACTAATTACTACAGTTGTGTTAACAAAGCGACTGTAGAATTAGCGGAACAAACCGATTACTACAGTTGTGTCACCATAGCGACTGTAAAATTAGTAGAACAAATCAATACTATAGTTGTGTTACCATAGCGACTGTAGAATTAGTAAAACAAATCGATTGCTATAGTTGTGTTACCATAGCAACTGTAGAATTAGTAAAACAAATCGATTGCTATAGTTGTGTTACCATAGCGACTGTAGAATTTCCAGAATAAATCGATTACTATTATTGTGTTACCATAGCGACTGTAGAATTTCCAAAACAAATCGATTACTATAGTTGTGTTACTATAGCGACTGTAGAATTTCCAGAACAAATCGATTACAATAGTTGTGTTACCATAGCGACTGTAGAATTTCCAGAACAAATCGATTACTATAGTTGTGTTACCATAGCGACTGTAGAATTTCTAGAACAAATTGATTGCAATAGATGTGTTACCATAGCGAATGTAGAATTTCCAGAATAAATCGATTACTATTATTGTGTTACCATAGCGACTGCAGAATTTCCGAAACAAAACGATTACTATAGTTGTGCTACTATAGCGACTGTAGAATTTCCAGAACATATAGATTGCTATAGTTGTGTTACCATAGTAAATGTAGAATTTCCAGAAAAAATCGATTACTATTATTGTGTTACCATAGCAAGTGTAGAATTTCCAAAACAAATCAATTACTATAGTCATGTTACCATAGCGACTGTAGAATTTACAGAATAAATCGATTACTATTATTGTGTTACCATAGCGACTGCAGAATTTCCGAAACAATTTGATTACTATAGTTGTGCTACCATAGCGAATGTAGAATTTGCAGATCAAATCAATTACAATAGTTTCGTTACCATAGCGACTGTAGAATTTCCAGAACAAATCAATTACTACAGTGGCTGTGTTAACATAGCAACTATAGAATCACCACAATTCAATTAATTCAGGCACTTTACCATCTTTCTTTGTCTAAGTAACACAGTATCGTAGCAATGTGTTTACTTCTGCCCTCCAACCTCAAGTTTTCCAGAAGAGACTTCAGAAACACCTCCCCTATCTCTGCCATCTTGGCCTTCGGTCCATCATGATGTCAGTATTGTAATGTAATGATTGAACCAGTGACATCAGCCATGATTAATGCTGTTTGATTCAGGGACGCGATGTTTTTTCATGCGCTCACAGTGAGTCAACACGGACTTCCCATGGACTTCCCTGTGACAGGACACACAGATCATGCGTGTGATAATGTGCCCATTACATAAGCAATGATGATGCCTATAGTAAGCAGAGTGCAACTACAGCTTCTTTGTTGCCTATACACACACACACACACACACACAAAGAGAGAGAGAGTGAAAGAGAGAGTGAAACAATGATGTTAATTATGGAGCATTTCCTTCTACACTGTAAACATCACCACAACAGTAGATCCTCATGCTTCTCCAGTTTCCAGATAATTACACCACATTTTACATCTCTAAAACTAAGAGAAAGATTGAGGCATATCCTGGGAGGAACGCCAGTCTGATTCTGATATCAACAGCAGCTAAATATGCAGTTTTTGTCTTGTTTCTGGTCCAAATATTTACAAGTTCTGAAATCAAGAGGCATTTTCCAGACAAGCAAACAATAAAGTCTTGTTTTCATAAATGATATGTCAGAGTAAGGTGAGTTTTGAGAGATTTGTTTTGAGTTAAGGTGATTGTAGATGAGTGGGTGATCATAAGATGAGGTGAAATAAGATGAGTTGAGTTTAATTGAGTTTAGATGAGATTAGACTACTTGAGTTTAATTGAGTGTAAATTAGATGAGCTGAGATGAGATAAGATTAGTTTATTTTAATTAGGTTGAGTTGAGTTAGGATAATTGCAGATGAGTGGGTGAGAGTATTGTATCATGAGATAGGATGAGCTAAGATGAGTTGAGTTTGATTAAGTTTAAATTAGCTGAGCTGAGTTGAGTTAAGATTAGATTAGATAAGTTGATTTGAATTGAGTTGAGTTGTATTGAGTTAAGATGAGTGGATGAGAGTTCCTTGTTATGAGATTAGTTGAGTTGAGTTTGAGTTAAGTTGTAAGTTAAGTTAAGATGAGTGTAGATGAGTGGGATGAGCTATATCTCATATCATGAGCTATATGAGTTGAGTTTAAAAAAGTTTAAATTATTTGAGTTGAGATTAGATCAGATTAGATTTGATTAGATTAGATTAGATTAGATTAGTTGATTTTAATTGGGCTGAGTTGTATTGCGTTAAAAGGAGTGGATGAGATGAGATACGTTGAGTTGAGTTTAATTGAGTTGAGATAAAATAAAATTATTTGAGTTTAAATGAACTAAATTGTTAGATTAGATTATTTGATTTTAATTTATTTGAGTTGAGGTGAGGTGAGCTAAGATGAGTGGATGAGAGTCCACTATCATGAGATAAGATGAGCTTGGATAAATTGAGTTTAATTGAGTTGAGATGAGATTAGATTATTTGAGTTTAATTGAGTTTAAATTAGTTGAGTAGAATTATACTGAGTCAAGATGAGTGTAGATGAGTGGATAAGAGTCCACTATTATGAGATAAAATGAGCTTAGATGAGATGAGTTTAATTAAGTTTAATTTAGTTGAGTTTAGTTAAGATGAGATGAGAGAGATAAGATTAGATAAGATAAGATAAGTTGAGTTGATTGTAATTGTGTTGTATTGAGTTGAGTTAGGCCGTACTCACACTATGTACAGTTGCCTTGAACCGGGCCAAAGCACGCTTGTTCCCCCTCCTGTCTCCCCTGACGGTCCGCACCCACATAACATTTGGGCTTGGGCACGCTTACATCATCAATGATGCGCAGGTCAGAAGCGCTCTCGCTCAGCACAGTGGAGATTTCTATAGTTATGTCGTTTGACATGCAGTGACTCACATTCAAATATTTCGCCGAACAGATCAGCCACCATTGATGATCAAAAACAATCATAAAGTCCTGCTGCTGCAGGAGTTAGGAGGTTTGCTAAAGGTGCAGCTGTGGTGCAGTGAGGGGTTTGCGTCTTTAATAATCTATGACAGTTTGCGTTCACTGAACAGTAAGAATGGTTAATAAACACATATCAAACAGTCCCTTAAAAGTCACGTCTCACTTTCAAGTTTCTGGCTTTGGCGTGTTTTGCACCCACACAAACATACCAAAAAGCCCAAGTGAACCGATTCAGAGCACTCACACTTCTCAAGCGATCCGGGAAATGGGCCTGGGCACGGTTCAGATAGCATAGTGTGAGTGCGCCCTTGAAATGAGTGCAGATGAGCGGATGAGAGACCACTATCATAACATAAGATGAGATAAGATGAGTTTTATTGAGTTGAGTTGAGATAAGCTGAGAAGAGTTGAATTTAGTTGACTCTAAATTAGGTGAGTTGAATCAAAGACTATAGAATACACAAGACATGTCACCCGTATACTTTTACATGGGGAAAAGTGTAACTGTCAACATGGTGAATGAAGCCCCGCCCTCTAGTACAGGAGCCAATCAGCGATCGCTATTGAATAGCAATTCTCCGGGGAAGGGGCTTGGACCAGACGTGAGTTCCTGCAGATTTTGTGTGACGAACATGTAGAAATACAATTAAAAAGACAGCTGTTGTTTAATTTTATTGCTGATGTGTAATATGTAATGTAATCTTTAACTTGGCTAACAGTTTTGGAGAATTTGATGTTTCCCCATTCAAACATAATGCCCGAGAGGCGTTGAGTTAATAAGACATGAGAGGAGTTGACTGGAGACTGAGTTAGTTTGAGTTGAACAGAATTGAGGTAAAGTTTAATTTAGTTGAATTTTAATTGAATTCAATTAATTTGAGTTGAGTTGAATTTAACTGAGTTTAGTTTAATTGAAATTAATGGAATTAAACTGAACTGAACTGAGATAAAGAGAGAGAGAGACCGGCACGCTGCTGTCCGGCAGGCGGTTCTGGCCCCATCAGTGTCCGCATACTTGTGTGATGAGTCAGGAATGTGGTTGCATGCTTTACACATGAGCTATTACTGCACACACACACACACACACACACACACACACACACACACACACACAGCACACACCAGAAGAGCTCATTCAGAGGCGGGGAGGCGGGAGGAGGAGGAGGCTCCACAATAGAGAAGCAGGAGCACACACACACATTCGCACACACTCATAGACG